TCTCAACAGAAACAAACCAACACAGCTAAAAACACAGAGGAAAGGGGCTGTAGAAATAGCTCAGCAGCATAAATGTCTGTCCTGCAAGCACAAGGTTCAGAGTTCAATCCCAGTACCTCAAAAAAAATACTATAGGAAAGGAAAACTCCAAGTAAGGTCAACGGATAAACAACAACTACAACAAAAAGTAAGGAAAAGGAAAGCAAAGGATTCACCAAGAGATAAAAAAAAAGGCAATGATAGTAGATAATCAACACATCTCCGTAACAGCTTTCACTGTTAACAGCCTCAATTTTCCAATTAAAAGACATATGTTATAAAAAAAAGACATGCATTGCCTGACTGGATCAAAAATTAGAATACAAAAGTCTGTTGCATTAAAAAATTGATCTACTCTAAAAAGATATTCATAGCTTAAAAATTAAAGGATAAGAATCAATATTGCATGTAACATGACCCTCAAACGAAGAAGAGGTAGCAATTCTCATATTAGACATGATAAACTTCAAGCTAAAACTGAAGAGACAAAGAAATGTACTACATTGTAGTTAAGGAAACAATCCAACAAGAAGAGAATATATATATATATATATATATATATATATATTCTTAACAAAGACATAGATCAACTAAAAACATCAATAAAGAAATATCAATCTGAACCATACCCCTTGAACATATGGACTTAGTAGACTTTTATAGAGTTTATCACTCCTTTACAACAGAGTATACATTTTTTTTTTCTCTAGCACATGGTAATTTTTCCAAAATAGAGCACAAAGCTTGGTTAAATAAATATAAAATATTTGTAATTATCCAATGCATACTATCAGACCACAATGAAGAAAACAATGACAGAATAAATTTCAGAAAATGCAAAATCTCCTGAAAAATTAACAAGATACTCCTACACAACCAATGGGTTACAGAAGAAATTAAAAGATCTCTGGAAGTTAATGACAATGACTGTACAACTCACTGTAACCTCTTGGACACTATGAAAGCAATTCTAAGAGGAAACTTCATTAGTCAATGCTCACATTAAAAAAAAAGAGCAAGACCAAATAAAAATCCTATAAGGAATCTTAAGATACTTGAGAAACAACAACAACCAGCCCCAAATCAAAATTAAGGAGAATAATTATAAAGATCAAAGTAGAAATCAATAAAATTGAGACTAAAAAAAGCATTAAAAGTCAATGAATTTTTGAAAACATAAAATAGATAAGCCTTTAGCCAAGCTTCCAGGAGAGAGAAAAGACTCAAATCAATACAATTAGAAATAAAAAGTAAAATCACAACAGACATTATCAAAATCCAGAAAACAGTTTTTGTAAACAATTTTTACTTTGAAAGATTATATTTCAATAAAATTAACAATTTTTTAAGAAATGGAAAGATTCCAAGATATATACTAACTACCATAACTAACCCCAAAAGATATAAATATGCTTAACAACCCAATAACAAGCAATGAAATTGATACAGTAATAAAGAATCTACCAACTAATAAAAGCCCAAGAACTAATGAATTTACTGATGAATTCTACAAACCTTTATGTATGTTATATCAGCAATACCCCTCAAGCTTTTCAAAGAAACTGAAAAATGCAGAGTATTGCCAAGTTCATTTAAGGAAGCTAGTATCACTTTGATAGCAAAAACTGGGTAAAACCCAAGTAAAAAGGAAAACTACAGACAAATCTCCCTAATGAACATAGATAAAAAAGTTCTTCAACAAGATATTAGCAAATACAATGCAGCACATAATCAAAAAGTTCACACATCATGACCTAGTACATTTAATCTCAGCAATGCAAGGATGGCTCAATATATATAAGTCAATAAATGTAAGACATCACATATACAGAAGGTCAAAAGCCACGTGATCATATCAAGAGTAATTATAAAGATATCATATATAAAGAAAATGCTTTCAACAAAATCCAATAACCCTTCATGATAAAAACCCTAAACAGGGGCTGGGGAGATGGCTTAGGAGAATAAGCGCTTGCCTGGCAAGCGCAAGGGCCTGAGTTCAATCCCCAGTTCGGCAAAAAATAAAAATAAAAAAATTTCAAAACCCTGAACAAAATAGGTATACATGGTCCATACCTGAGTTTGATAAAAGCTATTTATGACAAACCAACACCCAACATCTTATCAAATGAAGAAAAACTGAATGCATTCCTGTGAAAATCAGGAACAAGACAAGGTTGCCCACTATCCCCTTGTCTATTCAACATACTACTTAAAACATTAGCTAGAACAATCAGGCAAGAGGAAAAAATAAAAAGGATACATATAGGAAAGGAAGAATTCAAATTATCATTACTTGCACATGGCATGATATCCTACATAGAAGACTCACAGAACTCCACCAAAAACTCTTAGAATTCATAACTAACCCTCAGGAATGTGGCAGGTTACAAGATCAACATATAAAAATCATTGGAATTTATGTATACCAATAATAAACTTAAGAAAGTTATGAAAATAATACTATTTATAGTAGCTTAAAAATAAAATCCCTAGGAATTAAGCTAACCAAGGAAGTGAAGGACCTCTGCAAAGTAATTATGGTACTCTGAAAAAAGACATCAGAAAATAGAACAATATCCTCTATGCCTGGATAGACAGCACCAATATTATCAAAGTGGCCATACTCCCAAAACTGTTACTAGGATTCAGTGCAGTGCCAGTCAAAACACCAATAGCATACTTTACAAAACTAAAGGAAACCATCCTAAAATTCATATGGAAGCTGAAGAGACTCAGAATAGAAAAAGCAATGTTGGGCAATAAGAACAAAGCAGGAAGCCTTACAATACTAGACTTTAAGCTTTACTACAAAGCAATAGTGACAAAGACAGCATGGTACTGAAACAAAAACACACAGAAAGATATGTAGGTCAGTGGAACAGAATAGAAAATACAGAAACATCCCCAGACACATGTAGCTATTTTATCTTTGACAAAGGGGCCAAAAGCATATGTTGGGGGAAGGACAGCCTATTCAACAAGTGGTGCCAGAAAAAACTGATTTTCAGAACACCGAAATTGTGCCCTTATCTTTCACTGTATAATAAATTAAAATCAAAATATATCAAAGCTCTAACCATTAAAACAGAAACATTAAACTTAGTGGAATATAAAATAGGTAAAACACTTGAAGACAAAGGTGTAAGAAAGGATCTAAACAGAACCTCAATTTCACAAGAAATACAAGAATCAACAAATAGGATTGTATCAGACTATCCATATAGTTGGATAAAAAAAAAAAGCTTCCATATAGCAAAAGAAGGGACAACCTGCAGAATGGGAAAAGTTTTCCTCAGACAGAGGACTAATACCTAGACTACATGAAGAACTCTAAAAAATTCAACCACCTAAAATTAAATACCCAGTGAAGAAATGGACAAGTTAAATGAACTGACACTTTACAGAGAAACAAGTACAAGTGGCCAACAAATACATGAAAACATATTCAACATACCTAGACTAGAGCCTCCAGAATAGTGAGCTAAATAATCCTTCACTCACAAATGGCTTCTAAAGGGTATAAGTTTTCTTTTAGAAGATAAAACTGCTCAAAACTTACAAAATGGTGACTATCATACAACTTTATGAAAATATTAAATATTGCTAAATTATATATTTCAAATGGGTAAATTAAGTATGCACTCATTACCTCTTGTCGTTTTGATAACAGCCATCCTAATAGGTTAAGGTGAAGTCTCACTGTGGTTCATTTTCATTTTGATTTCCCTAATCATTAGTCCTGTTAAACACCTTTTCATGTGCCTGTTAGCCAGTTTTAAATCTTCTTTCTAAATCATATCTTTGTTTCATTTATTATTGAGGTGTATGAACTCCTTATATGTAGGAATGTTTGTTGTAACATCGTTTCTAAATGCAAGATCCTGAAATGAATCTAGATGTCCATCATCTGGAGAAGAGTTAGTCACTCCACAGAAGTTATGGTACTTATATACTACAGAATATTAGACATTAACAAAAAGACTGCGCTAACTGGATATTCATGGTATAATCTTTATGTGGAAAAAGTCAGTTGCAGAACAGAGGGTATAGGTGATTCCACCTTTGTAAAGAAATATATATATAATTTATGGTCTTTCTCTTTACACTGGGATATACATTTGATGGGGAGGTTACACATTTTATCAGTGCTATACTTAAATATGTGCCTAGACTAGTTCCTGACACAAAGTAGGTGCTCACATATCACTTTATTCAATGAATTCATAATTGTCTATTTTTGTAGGAGCAAGAAGAGGGTGGAAGGGGCCACACTTGGCTGCTAGTTTTAGTTACTTCTGGGGAAAAAGATTGTTAGAAGGGAAGAGAAGATAAAAGTACAGTTTTATACTTCTATTTTTATTTATTAACAATAAACATAAGGTTTCATAATGTAAAGTCTAAAAATGTAATGTCAAAAATATAATGTTATAGGGGATAAAGGAAGAAGAGCTGTGAATGCCATCATACGGAAAGGCAACATGTTAGTCACATACACTTCTGGGTGGAGGATAGAAGAGACAAAACCAGATGGGGCTGTTTGCAGGACAGAGAAGTTGGGGAGTAATGGGACTGAGTACGTGTCAGGAGCTTCTCTACATTCTATTCCATTCATAGGTATTGAATTCTGTATCCATGTAAAAAGAACTGAAAATGAAATGAAAGTTATTCTTTTTTTTTTTCTTTTTCTTTTTTTTTTTTTTTTTTGGTGGAACCAGGGATTGAACTCAGGCCCTTGCACTTGCCAGGCAAGCGCTTATTCTACGGAGCCATCTCCCTGGCCCAAAATTATTCTTTTTGGTACCAAATATTAGTGTATTCACCACTTGGTATCTGGAACTATTGCATTTTTTTATATGAATGAGAAATTCTCGAGTGGCTCCCTTTGCTCAAGTGGCTGCTCTTAGTTCTTTCTATTCAGCCACCAATGTCAGCACTTGGAATTCTCAGGATACACGCACCTTTGATGAAGAGGCTGATAGCATGTTGAAGTAGTTACTTGATGCTGGAAAAATTCCAGGTCCATGCCATAAGCAAGTCTGATGTAAGCTCCTCGATTGCTGCCTTCTTCATAATAATTAGAAGCAGAAAACACAGTAATAACCTGATGAAAGAAAAAGACTGTCAGGTTCATAAAGTTACTTCTCTAAAGGTCATGCAATAAGGTTCAATACCTGGTGTGCTGTGCCAACTCCCCCCCCCCTGGGGCACGCTGAGACAGCAAATGAGACTGGGCATGGTGGCGCTCACCTGTAATCCCAGCTCTTGGGAGGCTGAAAACAGGAGAATTACTACTAGTGAGACCCTGTAGACCCTGTACTAAATAATAAAAAAAATAATTTCTGTTTTGGGGATTAGTGAAGAGTAGGTAAATAACCAAATATCCCTTTGGGTGTGGGACAGTGAGGCCCCTTCAAACAACCTATGCAGATCCTCTAGTTTCTAGTTTCTGACTGATGCTTCAGGTCATATATACTTTGTGAGACCATGTTTGATAGAAGGATGACTGTGAGAATGTCACCACCAGTGTTATCTTACCTTCCCATCATGGCAGATTTCATAGCCTTCAGGCTTACATTCATGAGATCTAATGATCTTCTTCAGGTGGTATTTATTAAGTATGCTGGTAGAAATATCTGGTCCAAAATAGCAGCCCCCTCCTCGGCCTGTGTTTGGAAAACAGCCTTTGGTGCCTCTGGGGTCACTCCAGAGAATGTCAATAATCTGGGAACAACAAACCAGATTAGGCTGCTACTTACAAGCGAGGATGTATCTCTTTAGAGTCTGGCTTATTAGCCTGAAATATTAATCTGAGGAATCCCAAAGGCTGTTTCTTATTCTTCTCTCAAAATTGCTTAAATCTCATCCATCCATTCATCCTTTCCAGAATATCTTCGTGCTCACTCCCAGCCCCATCCTTTTTCTGTACAGTCCCAATAACCCAGCTAGCAATCACTATAACCAAGGCAGAAATACTTAGTAACTATTAAAGAAACAGCCTTTAAAAATCTCATTACACATGTTTCACAACCTTTGAGTCTATGAAGTTGTTTGTCATGTTTAGAGGAGAAAGCAGTTCCTCTCAAGGAACATAAGAGTAAATGTCCTTAGTATGCTCAGAGAGATTAGGCAGACATCCCTGCTGTGGTGGGGACTCAGGTTTTTGTCCTGTTGAGCACACAGCCTGAGGAAGCTTTTACTCTTTCCCATCACAAACAGAGAAAACTGTTCATGTGAAGACATCTCTGCCTTTCCTGCATCATTTGCCCCCTTGATAAGGACATTCTCAGTTTCAGCACATATTTATCCAGTGTCTGGATACTATCAGTTGTTCTCCCAAATCCATAGTATGACAGTAGTATGAACATTTCCTTCTGAGGCTGGAAGAGGCAATTGCAGGTCACATAACATCCGGGACTGAAGACCTAACTTTCTAATAATATGTTTTGTAGAAAATCGGAGGCTTCTTCTTAATATCTCTGAACTATATGTGTTCCTTTATACAAACTTATACTATGCAACTTCAAAGAACAGTGATAAAAACTATATTTGTCATAAAAAATAGTGAGAATCTTGAGGAAATCCTCTAGGTCTCACTTTTGAATTCTTTCAAGTTGGGCATTTGGGCTAACTGACTTATAAAGTACCTCAAAGTCCTAATAGCCTATGATTCTAAAAGTCATTCTTGTATTTTTTATTTGTGCTGAAGATTGAATCCAGGGCCTCATGCATGCTAAGCAATTGTTCTTCCACTGATCTATGCCCCAGCCCCCAAGATCTAACTTTCTAAAAATATTTTTCATAGAAAATTGGAAGCATCTTCTTAATAGCTCTGAACTATATGTGTTCCTTTACAGAAACTTATACATACTTCCACATGTTTCTTTTGAAGGCACGGAAAAGAGTGCATTAAGATATGCAGTTATGGTAGAGAGTCAAAGTCAGAGGTCTTGAAGATAACAACCATAAAGCTTGCTTCACTAAACCTGGCTGTATACCCATTTACATGTCTGGTATTGAAAGGCAGCTAACAGTGAGCTGAGGAGAACAGAACTGACAAGAAAACTGCCTTGGAATAATCAGCGTCTGGTCAGAACTAGAGAAACCTGCACCAGGAAAGGACAAGACACTTGCAAAGCTCGGGAGTTTTCTCTCTCTCATCTGAATTTCAACACTGGAACAACAGTACCTTACAAATAAATACAATGCAACCCCTTCGCTTTTCTGGTGATTATCACAAAAATAACACTTGTACTTTGTGTTCGGAGGATTTGACTGACCTGTGGTGTAATGAATAGGAAACATGGATCAAAAGGACTTGACTTATTAGGGAGAGATTTTTTTCAATTCATACATTGACTACAAATTACTTATAGCCAAAATTATCCCTGGAAAACCTCTTAAATTACCTTAAGGCATACTATACATTATTTTATATATACATCCCTCTACACTAATATGGATATGTAAATGTTTTATGTATATGATAATGGATATTATGTAATGAAGAAAAACAAGAAAATAAAATCTTACGGTATTTTCCTATTTTCTCCATTTGTCATATGTAACAGTTGTAATTTACATAAATTCAATGTACATATGATGGAAATCTGTTTTACTAGAATAAGCACTGGCTGAGAGTTATCTCCTTAAGTAATTATCTAAATCATCCTGGGCCAATCACTTCACCTATTAAGGCTTAGTTGTTACTAAAGAAATGAGGGCAAAGCTGTATATCTAACTCTCATTTTTCATTGATCCAATGTCATAAGGGCTAACAGTTTTTAAGGCTTGAGCTTCTTCAGAATCCATTCCATAAGTTCTGCATTTCTCTCTTCTGTGTGAAAATTATTCACCTATCTAGGTTTACCCAGATAGTGACTGTAAAATAGATTTAATTCTAGAGCTCACAAAAAGTTCTATAAAGGACTCTGCTAGAAAAACAAAGTCTTCCATAGAAACCATCCTTTTTCAAGCCAACAAATGGTAAATTTTACTGAGCTGCAGATTTATATCACCATATTGGTCTCTTCAATTTTCTACCCCTAGCACCACAATAAAATTTTAAAAAGTAAATTTTCTTAATCTAAAAATAAATCTAGAACACAATCGGATTCCACCTCACACAAGTAGGAGAGATAAAATCAAAAGAACCGATAGAGCTGGGAATAGAGCTCAGGGTAGAGCACAGTACTTAGCACATGGGAGGTTTTACGTTCAATGCTTTAATCCCCAGCCACTCTCTAACGCACATACAATTACAACATCTTATAAGAAAGTAGATAAGTTGGAATATTTATACACTGTTGGTTACAATGTAAAATGGTATGGTCACTTGGAAAAAATTTGGAATTTTCTCAAAATGCATAACTATAGAGTTACCATATCATTCAGAAATTCCATTCCTAAGTGTACATTCAAACTATATGAAAAAGAGCCAACGAGATAGCTCAGTGGTCTAAAGCTCCTGCTTGGGCAAGCTTAGGCAAGGGCTCAGGGACTGCCGTTTGATCACCAGCACCATATGCCATGCCAGCTCTGCCCTGACGGTGGGCTCAGCTGGCCACAAAAAATTCACGAAAAGATATGTACACACAAAAATTTGTATATAGTGGTATTATTCATAAGAGAAAAACACAGAAACAAATCAATGCAAAAGTGAATGAATAGACCCAGTCCTAGCCCAGGCCCGGTGAGTGTGTGGGAGGGCTTCCAGCTACCCTGCGCAGTGGGACCTACTACTGGTCTCAGCCCGGCGCAGCGTGGGTGAGACCCTCTTCCACACCCTTGGGATGCCCCCCACCACTCACAGTACCTCCCCAACCCTGCCCACCAAGTAGGAATTTCTGCCATGTTCTGGGAACCCCCAGGCCCAGTCCTAGCCCAGGCCCAGTGAGTGTGTGGGAGAGCTGCCTCTCCCCCCTACTCCATGTTGTCCCCTCCAGGCTCAGCTCAGGCCTGGAATACAGGCTTGGGGTGAAACCCTGCAGCTGCATTCCCTGCAGAAAGTGTAGAGGATAGAACCACCCAGAGAGTCCAGGAGCAGAAAATCTTGCCAGAGGGGCACAACAGGTTCACCCCCAAGGGCAGCAGCAGGAAGGAGCTGAGCACAGCAGCCAGACCCAAGCCAGGCACAGCTGGATAAATCCAAACTTTGTAGA